CTTCAGCCTTTAGTAGTGGCCGCATTGTGTGTCCTCCATACAGTGAGGTCTGCATGGATCTACCAATAGAACCACCACCAACAGAGGCAGTAGTAATGGAGGAGGTATACAACGTTACTGCATCCATTAATGAATAGTTGAGAGAAGTAAAGGATTAATAGAGAGTCTTTGCGATGATGGGTAATGTTGTGGACACCCTTAACAGATAACTGAATCTCTAATACTCTAATTCACTATTGTTTCTTTTCTGTATACATTTGTTTGCTTTTTTTTTTTCTTAATGTTTGCGATCCAACACCCCATAGTGGAGTCTGAAGTAGTTGGAGATGATAGTACTCATTCTCTATATACAATCCTATACTTTTTCTTTTGAGTAGTAGTCATTATTATTTTTGTGGTTCATTTGTGTTGTCTTTTCACTGTATGTTGCACTGAAGAGGATGAATTGATAATAATTAACTGAACGTTGGATATCATCCTTTAATTATTTATTTATTTTCTTTTATTTATATGTTATTACTCTCCGTACGCAGTATGATTATATTTAATTGGTTTTTCTTTTCTATTTCCCTTTTTCTCACTATCCGCTATGTAAAGTTTACATGTACTTTTCAATAATGATTTCTATTCCACATATGTACTCTCCTGTTGTTTTTCTTCTCTTCTTTTCCCTCCTCTCAACTGAAGACCCATATGGACTGATAGTGAAGATGTCAAGGATGGCGTACATGTTACTAGTGTATGTCTATTCTAACTGTGATATGATTGTTGGTGAAGGGCATGAATAGTGAAAAGAGGGAAACACTGATACTGCAACTCTTTAAATGTCTACGTAGTGGATAAAAGAAAATGAAAAAGAAGAAATGAAAGTTAATGGTGCTACCATTACTTTGTTACGACTAAGCTCTTAACGGGCAGGACTCTGTGTGTGTATATGAGTTATGCCCCAAGTCAGTAGTAATGTAGTTAGTTAGTGAAGCCACTTGATTTCCATCACTGTATGGTACCAACTGCAGTAGTGCTGCCCCACTAACAAACCACAAAACCAGAGTTCCACACCATGCAGTGGATAAAAGATAATGATCTGTTTATACATGACACTAATAGTTATCCTTTTCAAATATTGTTATTCTATCTTCATCTAAACTTTCATAACAGAAAATACCTCTCTTTATATGTCTCAGCTGTTCACATGTTGAATCTTCA